CTACCACACACTGTGTTAAACTGTGGCTCACTGAGAACAAGCTAAGTAACTGGATCCATAAGACACATTGTTCTCCAGCTGAGGATCCAGCTGGATGGACAGTGAAGTCAAGGCTGATTTGAGAACCTCATTACCTGAGTTGATATACAATCCTGTAGAACCAGAGCTACAGTCAGAAGAGGACCTACACTAGTGTAATATCTATCAGAGAACAAAAACGTTGACAGGGACAGCAGACAAAATGCCTAGTCTGACAAGTTTAGGCAGCTGTCCTGGTATGGTTCAGTGTGTACTGGGCCTCATTAGCCTAGTTATAGTGGTACCCATATTATGGTGGGAAACAAGGTCCCACATACACCGTGAGAAAAGAGCTAATGTCCTGATTCCACTCGAGTTGGTTTTTAATTTGGGTAAAACTTCTACTTTAATGATAGATGATTCTTGATTGCTCTGTGTGGCCACAGCAAGAGCAATTAAGACAGTTTGATAAATATATTTCTATACTGTCCTATGTCTAGTTTAATGTTCAGTGTTTTACTAATCTTACTAATCCCACTAATCTTACCAGAAATTTAGTTGTTAGGTTTCAGGAGCAACTGGCAGCCACTTCTCTTATGTTGTATTAGAACAGATTGTCATTAGACTTCATTCTGACTGAAAAAAGGAGGTGTTTGTATTTTGATTGGGCAACAGTGCTGTACTTACATCTTAAATAATACTGCTCCTGATGGCTCTATTGCTAGGGTTGAAATTTAGCAGAGGAGATGGCTGACCATTTAGAAATTAAAAATTGCATTGATGATTGGTTTGTTAAAATTTTTGGCAAGTGGAAAAATTTTGTGATTTCTTTGCTTACATCTTTTGTGGCAGCAGTGACTTTGCTGACCTTGTGTGGATGCGCTGCATCCCCTGCATTAGGCATATATGTCTAAAGTGTATCACCACTGCCACTAATAGACATCCCAATATACTTGGGAAACCATGCCCAATGATCTCACTCACTGAGCCCAGTGAGTCTGAGGTTGAAGTGGACCCCTTCGATGGGGAAGAAGACTATGACCTCTCTACATATTATTGCTAAGGGTTAACACATACCCTCATATATTTTTTGCACACACGAAGGTGGTGTGGACTCATAGGTGTGTGATTGATTTTGATTATTGAGTAGAATTTTGTGATAAATGTGTGATACTGGAAGAAGATCTTTAGTCTCCAGCATAATGGATTCCTCCTGCAAATGTTATGATTAACCAATGATTGTTTGCTACATG